GGGGGGTCTTCTTGATGGGGAGAGTCTAGTAAACATAATGTTCCTCATGTAATTGTAGATTAATGATAACAAAATAATAAAGAAAAAAGGCTTATATATGGACACTTAGCTAGACATCATGTTTGGAGACGAGTTACATGGTTGGGGTCTTTTCCTTCTGGTCCAGAACTTGGCTGCTTCTGCTTGAAGTGGCACAGGGGTGTGGGGTCACTGTTTGTACCACCCCATGGTTAAGACCTCAGATCCTCTGCAGCATTACTCATCCTGTCTTTCCAACCTAACAGTTTGAGACAATCTTCTAAATCAAATTCCAGCCACACCTCCACGGTAAAACTTGTCATACTTGGTGGTGAGGCTGCGTTGGAATTTCAGTGCAGGAGGGCAGTGATTTTGGAAGGATGGATGCGGGGTGTGGTGGGCAGGCTCACAGCACCCTGGTGAGGCCTGAGCTCCCCTGGGGCCCAGTGGCTGCTGCAGAGAGGGACCCACGTCCAGCTGCATGAAGCTGCACCTTCTCCCAGTCCTCCCGAGCCCACGGCTGCTGCTGTGTGGGTCCTGACGTGGTCAGTCTGACACCCCCATGGAGTGTCAGGGCTGAGGAGGGGGGCTTGGTCTGCTTTGTTCACGGTGGTGCCCACACCAAATCAACAGCCCTTCATTATAGCAGAAGGGCTGCTCACTAACACTGGCTCTCCATTTCCTGAGCAGTCAGATGAGTGGTAAACCTGGGGAAGCTGTAGATGCAGGAGTGGGACATCCAGGCTAAAGCTGGCTGTCCTCAGGGGGAGCACTGGACCTTCCCTGGCAGGCACATGGGTCACATTTTACTCGGTTTTCCTCATCATCCATGTTACACTTCCCATGGAGTAGCTCATGTCCTCCCTTATCCTGAGAGAGACGGCGGCTCCATGGAGCAGCTGTGCACCAGCAGGAGGGACTGGCACCAGGCACAGTTGACTGAAGAGCCTGTGTGCACGATCAGGGGCCTTTCTGAAAGCAGCACAGCCACTGACATTTACTAACACAGTGACATAGGCCATGTTTCCTACAGCAGGGACATCTTGGAGAATGACCTCCAAATTTGTAGTTTTCATACCCTGGCTCTGGTTCTTGGAAAATGAGCTTATCTGCAGGACTTCATGCTCTGTCCGCAGAGGATCAATGAGACTGCTGCCATTGGCAATACGCTGTTTGCTTTCTCTCACTTACAGTGTTTTGTATTATATCTTTTTTTATTGAATAGGCTTTTTAATTAGAGAACAATACTAGATGCTCATGAAGAAATGAAACTTACAATTGTATACTGTGCATTCTCCAAATTCCTGGATTTGGCCCCTCCTCCATGTTATTCCCACTTTCTTGGGTGCCTTAGGGCAATTTTCTTTTTTTCTATTTACTTTTTTCTTTTTATTAAAGTGTCATTGAAATATAATCTTATGATGGTTTCACATAAACATTTAGTTTCAACATCACCCATATTACCAAGTTCCTCCACAACCCCATTGTAGTCACTGTCCATCAGCATAGTAAGATGATATAGTCACCACTTCTTCTCTGTGCTGTACTGCCTTCCCCAGGCACACCCCTACATTATGTGTGCTAATCATAATACCCCTTAATCAATCCCCTTCTCCCTCCCCACCTGATCTCCGTGTCCCCTTTCCCTTTGGTAACTGCTAGTCCCTTCTTGGAGTCTGTGAGTCTGCTGCTGTTTTGCTCCTTCAGTTTTTTCTTTGTTCTTATACTCCACAGATGAGTGAAATCATTTGATACTTGTCTTTCTCCGCCTGGCTTATTTCAATGAGCATAATACCCTCTAGCTCCATCCATGTTATTGCAAATGGCAGGATTTCGTTTCTTTCTTGTGCCTGAATAGTATTCCATTGTGTATATGTACCACATCTTCTTTATCCATTCATCTACTGATGGACACTTTGGTTGCTTTCATGTCTTAGCTATTGTAAATCCTGCTGTGATAAACATAGGGCTGCTTATGTCTTTTTGAATCAAGGACCTTGTTTTCTTCAGGTGAATTCCTAGGAGTGGAATTCCTGGGTCAAATGGTATTTCTATTTTTAGTTTTTTGAGGAACCTGCATATTGCTTTCCACAACACTTGCATCAATTTATACTTCTACCAACAGTGTAGGAGGGTTCCTATTTCTCTGCATCCTCGCCAGCATTTGTTTATGTTTTTGATGTTGGTCATCCTGACTGGTGTGAGGTGATAGCTCATTGTGGTTTTACTTTGCATTACCCTGATAATTAGCAATGTGGAGCATCTTTTCATGTGCCTGTTGGCCATCTTCAGGGAAATTTTCTCTATATAAAGATAGCCGTATATTTACGTGGGTACATAAAGAATTCTTAAATCCCTAGTAGGATCATACATTATACTATGCTTTACCTTTGTTCTATAATTATGCCTCTGTACTACTGAAAACACATTTTTTATTTCTTTCCAGATAAGTGCATTTGCTGCCGCTTGTATTAGGAGGCATCCTATTTATTTTCTAATGCAATAATTGCTAATTCTTCATTTTAACTTCCTTGTAATCAGAAAATGTTTCCTTTATGGACAGTTTAGTTTATTTAAAACTACTCCTAGAACATCAGGTTTTACTCAAAGGCAGTCTAATGTTTTGGTTATTTCTGCTTGCTTTAGCCTCTAATTTTTGGCATGATTAGAAACTTCTAAGTTATCTGTGGAGCAATTTTATGATGCTTACTATAGGCTGTATATACAGTATAATTATTTTCACAGTTTTATGACAGTTGAATGCACCCACTATAATTTAATTACAAAATTAGAGATATTTAATGTATGTAAAATATTCACTGTCGGCATTCATAAAATAGAGAACAGATGCTGTCCAGCAAGATAGGATCTGTAACGTTTTAATAACACACCAGGCCTTCCTAGCAGCTTTAGTAATAAACTTACCAGCTCTAGTATATTTAAGTTCCTACTCATACTTGGGGTTGTATAAAAGGGGTTTATTAATCCCTTAGCCACAGTAAGGGATTAGGAAATGTTAGTAACCAAATGGATATGCTTAGATGTGGTTAATAAATGCATTTATTGGGCTGTTTAGTGAGAAGTGAGTTGTGGAAAATTTATGTTTGGGACAAGGTTGATCTCTCACAGAACAAAATTCTCTGTTCATGGTCCTTTCACCACAGGGCTAGGATTCTCCATAGATACATGAAATACTCTGAAAGGGAACTTCAGCAACTTTATGACTTACAACCAAGTTTAGGGTAGAAGGTGGATTTCTAAATGGGGTCACTGAGGAATTTGACTGGGAGGTTTCAGCAAGCTGGGATTTTGTGGCCAATGAGCTGTGTTCCCAAGGTACGGGTGTGAATGCAGCAGAGACCGGTGGCCAGAACCAAGGCCACAGGGATACCGGCATGCTCCAAAGGCCCCTCTTCACATGATACCCCTGAGGCCTGTCTGCCTGGTGTTCCCTCTCTGTCTTGGCCACATAGGGTGGGGCCCCCACTGCTCACAGGATATCTGGAAGCTCAGCCAAATTCGAGGGGTATAAGGAAAGTGCTAGAAGATAAAATCCAAGAGGTAGCAGCCTCACAATGGACAGTGCCTAAGTTCCTGGCTGTCCTAAATGGCACACTTTTCCATGACTTTGACCCACTTGTCTTTGCGCTAGGTGTAAATGTGCTGGGGACAGTGAGGACAGAGTGAAACAGCCTCCCCCTGTGGGTCAGTCTGGTTGTGGAGAGAAACTTGACCAGACTTGCAGCTGTGGTGTAACTTGGGTAGAGCTGTTGAGAAGGGCCCAGTGGCCTGAGCCCGTGGCCACAGGACAACCCATCTAGATGGGGTGTGATGGAAGGCCAGGCTCCTGAGGTGGGTGGGAGGGGCCACGGTGCCTGGAGGGCAAGGCTGGCTCGTAACAGCTCACCCTGGAGGACACACCCATGCCTTCTGTGCCCTGCCTGAATGCATGTGCAGTCCCTCTCCGTGTCCCCCCACCTGTGATTCCTTGGTGCTGCAGTGCTGGCCCTGTGCACAGCAGAGGTGGGGACTGAGCCATGGAGAAGGAATTTAGTGGTGAGAATGTCCTTCCCACTACTCCACGTTACTGTACAGAAGGACTACCATGTCTTTCTAATAGATACTTCTAAGGAGTGAGTCTTTGGGGTTGAATAGTGTCCCCTGAAAAAATTCAAGTCCACCTGGAGCCTCAGAGCATGACCTGTTTGGTGGGGGGTGGTGTCTTTGCACATGTATACGGTTAGGTCAGACTGGTGCATGGAGGGCCCTAATCCATGACTGGTGTCCATACAAGAGATGACATCCAGGGAGAAGGCCTGTAAGGCAGAGGCAGAGATGGAGGTCATGTTTCTGTGAGCCACGGGGTGCCAAGGCTGCTGTGCTGCCAGGAGCAGGGCAGGGCCTGAGCGTTGGGAGACTTCACGGGACCTGCAGGACAGTGAGGGTAAATGCTGCTGTTTCACGCACCCAGCGTGTGGTGCACCACATGGCCCGAGGATTTTCACCCTTGAGAAGCCCAGTTGCGTTTCCTTTTATTTTGTCTTCCCTAAAGGACTGAGCTAATTCTTTACACAGCTTAGCTCTTCAGTAAAAGCTTTCCAATATGTGGTGTTTGACCTCAAGGTCTTTTTACTGTCTCCCTACAAATGTGTGGAAAATGAATCCATGATCACAGTGGACCCCAGACATGACTGCAGACCTCTGGGACAGTAAAAGAACTGCAGTCAGGAAACCTCTGTTTCTGCCTGAGATTAGATGAATACCCTCCCATATCTCTGAATATTAAATGATGCCCACAGCTGGGCAGGTCAAGGCAGGAAAGACCATGGGGGCTGGCTCCCAGGTCACACCCCAGGACAGCTGGTATTGCAATAAAGCTCATCTCCTAATCTCAGTTGGCCTGAATTTTTTGTCTTAATTTGGCCTAAACTCAGGTGGGAGTAAGGGGTGTTACTCAGCACTCGAGTGTGCTGGTCATGGTGGTGGTCAAGCAAGGCTGGCGATCAGTAGTGACACTAATGTGGGAGACTGAGAACTAGGACAGGCATGCCAGCCACGGGCTTCTCAGGTGAGCTTGGTGCGACCAGCCCCCGTTTCTGTGATCGCTTTGAGGATGCTCTTTATGCAAACATAACAAAGTCACAGAGTGACTTTTCTCACAAAGGTTATTGTGTAGTTGTCATACTTACAGTGTTATTTCTAGGCTTTCCAGTCATCAGGGCTGGAAGGATGAGTCAGCATTTTCTTTTTTCCCTCTGGAAATAGAGGCAGTAAAGGGGTGTCAGAGGCGGGGACAATAACTCCCATTTTCAGAGAAATTGGAGGTAGACGCTGTTCACATATTCTGAAGTACGCGTAAGGCTTCCCTGGAGCAGCTCAGATTGGGGAGGAGGCTAGAAGACCTGAACAGGTGTGTTCCACTTGGAAGACTCAGCAGCTGACCTGTAAGACACCCCAGGCCCGGTAAGGGCCCAGGTTCTGGTGCCGAGTCCCTGCTTCCAGCGGGTGAGGGTGTGAGAGAGACAGGAAGTCCATCTCCCGAAGTCACATGGAGGAGCCTCAGTCATGAAAACCAGCTTTCCCAGGAGCAGTGGGGGAGGGAAGGGCCAGCACTTGGGCAAAGAAGCCTAGAAAGGGACCCTGGTCCCCAGGAGAACCTCCTGAGGTGCTGATAGACTTGGTCCTCATTTGAAAAGACAGACTTCACTCTAGGGAGCTGAACTGGTGACACAGGGTCCGATCCCAGAGAACTAGTCTTCCAGAGGAGGCCACATGCCTCACCTAATGTCAGCCTCTTCATGTCATGTTGGTTACGATCACTATGGTTTATATTTCCATTTTAACAGATTTATGCTTAGCCTTTTTCCTCTTTCTTTTAAGCTATTGCAGCTAATTGCAAAATCTCAGTTAACGTCATTGAGTGGTGTGGCACAAAAGAATTACTTCAACATTTTGGATAAAATCGTTCAAAAGGGTAAGGTGATGACTGATATTTTTAATGGCCTAAATCTTAAATAGAAATTTAGTTCAAGAAGATGGGATTTTTCTTTTCGCTTTCCCCAGTATGTATATTGTGAAGTAGACAAGAATAAAGGTTTGTCCCTTCAGTTCTTAATGTTTTGTTACTATTGTTTACTTTTTTAAAAGTTGTTTTTCCAAACAAAGGAATGTATCAAGAAAGATAATTAATCCCAGAATTTAAAAAAGATATTTTACCTTTTTAGGTAAGCCAGTCACACTACACTTCAGTTATAAAATATTTCTGTAATAGGCAAGGTTGTGACTTAGTTGCTTAAGCATTAAATAAGCCTGTAATTTTTTTTAATTTAATGCTTGTCTTGATTAATTAGTTGCCACTCACAAGTGAAATATTACATTTCAGACCATGAGTTTATGTATATGTATGAATTTATGAGTGCAAATATAAGGTATTAAAAAATATCATTCCCTTTATGATAAGTATGAAAGAAAAGAGAGACTCACAATTTTCAATGCAAAATTGTATATTCCATCAAAAATACACTACCAGTCAGTATTTTAAATTTTTAAAAACATCATACTGTAGTATCTCAGAAATGATGCCACTTTGGGGTTGTACTGAAATTAGATCAGTGTATTATACCACAATAAAAAATACATACATTCACCATCTTAACGTTTCTCAGTGCCCAGCTCAGGGGCACTGAGCACTCACACTGCTGTGGCACCATCCTCACCACCATCCCTGGAACCTCCCATCCACCCAGACAGACCCTGTCCCACAAAAGGCTCACTGCCCCTGCCCTGGCCCCTGGCCCACTGTCCCCATGTCTGTGTCTGTGGACTTGACATCTGGGGCCTCGTGTAAGTGGGATCCCGCGGATGCGAACCCCCTGCCCTGGCTCTCACCAGCAGAGTCCTCAGGGTCCATCCACGTGGCAGTGGTGCCGGGACCTCCTGCCTTTCTAGGGCTGGACAGTGTTCCTTTGTTCCACTTCTTGCTGACCTGTGTTATCTGTCAACAGACAGTGGGTTGTGAAATTAGACCATTTTTAACAAAGGTGGTGAACTGTATCAGTCCATAGTGTGCTTTTGTTTATTCCAGTTCTTGATGACCATCAAAATCCTCGCCTAATCAAAGGTCTTCTCCAGGACCTGAGCTCCACACTTTGCATTCTCATTAGAGGAGTCGGGAAGTCGGTATTGGTGGGGAATATCAATATTTGGATTTGCCGATTAGAAACTGTTCTCACCTGGCAACGACAGCTACAGGATCTTCAGATGACTAAGGTACAAATTCCTGGCCTCATAACGATGACGCTGTTTTTTTTTCTTGTTTTCTTTTGGTATCATTAATCTACAATTACATGAGGAACATTATTTTTACTAGACTCCCCCCATCACCAAGTCCCCCCCACATACCTCATACAGTCTGTGTCCATCGATGACGCTTGGTTTTTATATTGCAAGGCATTACTTCTTTTAAGCATATGGGAAAGACTATTCCAGCTCTTTGTAAGATTTTTTTCTTTACCTTTTCCTAAATGTTACTTATGTTGTTTTAAGGTGGATCCAGGACAAAAAGACCCTGAAATGGCTCAGAGTTGTTTTCGCAAAATGGGGATGGAAATTGTTATAAGAGCCCATCCTGAGTGATGAGGTGGTAAACTGACTTACCTTCCAAGGAAATACAGGGTCTGAGGCTGAGAGAGCAACCCATAAAGCAGGCCGAGCTGCTTACGAGTGACTCCAGGCGCATCCCTGGTCCCTTCCGCAGGCTGGCATTTTCTCTCGTTGTACATTGTGTCTTGTGTCCCTGTGTTTGTTTTTCTTTGGCAAACTGCACTTTTGGAAAAAAAGGTGCAAATCACGTCAAGTCACTTTTGATTTTTCTTTTTTTCCTGGTAACTACTTTCAGCAAGAAAAGTTGTAACAGCATTGTCTAACAGGAAGCATTGTAGTAAGCATGCCTATTGCTCTGTAAGACAGAGAACAGGTGGAATATGTACCTTAGTGGCCTGAAAGCATGAATTACTGTCCAAACTGCCTTCTCTCGGGGCTAAATTCCCTGTGGCCACTGTACTCACCTGAGGCTCCCTGGGAAGGCAGTTGTCAGAAGTGACCTTGGAGGACCTTAACCTATGGCCATTTCCTTGCCACCTAAATTTGGTATTTACAGAAAGAGTAGTGGTTCCCTAGTTATGGATCTGAACTTATTAACCAAACATGGGTGTCAATAAGAGCTCAGATGTGAACATAGGAATCCAAAGCTCGTCATCATTAAGCCACCAGCTTGTCTTAAAAAACATCTGCTGAACAATGAGAGCTTCCCTTTATTTAATTAAGACTTACTGTGAGACGTAAGACTATGGGGTATAAAACCCCTCTAAACTGCAAATGAGGATGACCCTTGTCTTACTGTCCTTTGCCACGAGGCCTGTGGTGTCTCTTGGACTGTCCATAGTCGCCCCGGTGGCCTGGCGAGCCCTAGTGTGCACTGTGGTCAAGGGAGCCCTCTACTCCAGGAAGAGACCATGCCTCCAAGGATCTGGGTAGTTTTCATGCTGAATTGAGTAGATTCAACTTTGTGACTTAATCTTATAAAAAGGCTAGTTTTTAGTCCTCCTGAACAAGTGCTGGTGCCTCACTGAATAGAGGCGGCCCAGGTGTGTGGGGCCAGGCAGCTGGGAAGCGAGCTCACCCAGCTCCCCAGGTTAGCAGGCAAGGGGCCTCAGCATGGTGCAGCCATGGCCCAGGAGCGGCCCTGGCTTGGTGTCTGCTGTTTGTCCGTGAGGCAGTGTTTGTGAGCTTTGTGAGCAGTGTGCGTGTGAAGCCACAGGCCTTGCTCCTCTTGCTCCTAAAACAAAGGGACTGTGCTGCTTAAGCTGTTCTTAAAGTACGATGCTCACAAAGCACCGTCACACTGAAACGTCCATGTATTACCTCACTCAGCAAGTGGGCTTGAGATGCAGAGAAGACAGTTCCTGTTGGCAGGTGCTTCCGCAGGGAGGAATTGCCACTGAGAGTATCCCCTCTCCTGATTTGAATCGTGACAGGGCTGCCTCTCTGTCCCTGCCAGGGGCTGAGTGGTCATGCCAAGATCCATACCTTCCCCACCTGCATCCCCCCCTGCCATCATGCTTCCCTAAGCCTGTGACTTCAGCAGGATACTGAGCTCCTGTCCCATACAGGTGTTTGTCATGGTAAGGGGAAGAATGAAGCTTCTGATAGAAAAGACCTACATGTCTCAGCCTCAGCACTGAGGCTGCTGTTGGGGACAGTCTGCATGGGTACACCCTGCCAGTGATGGGCAGGGCAGGCGGCCCGAGAACCAAGGGGCTCAGTCACAGGCGAGTGCTTGTTCGCACATCACTGTCAGCAGGTGCCTGCACAGTCCTTGCACAAAGCCTACATGAGAACCCATCCCGGAGGAGGAAGGTGCACCTCTGTTCTGCGTGAAGCGAAGCAACATGTGTGACACACACCACATGCAACCAAGACATCAGCTTTATAAGCTGCGTCCAGTGAGGTGGGGATGAGACTAGGGCTGTGAGGTTTGCACCATGTGGATGCATGAGAAGGCATTTGTGCCCTCAAGTGCTGAGGGTGTATTTCCAAAACCAGCACAGTGCCCACCAGCACATCTGCACCCGACACCTCAGACACCAGGCTGGGGGCCAGTGCCCTGCTTTCTGTGCTGGGACCTAAGGCCGCTGAAGCACGCAAACAACTGGAGGCAGCGTGTCCTCAAGTCAGAGAGTGCCTGCTGCTCCAGAAGTGTGCAGTACGGCCTGCAGTCCAGGCAGTCCACTGCCCCTGCTGAGGGAGCAAGCTGCTTTGACAATCAGGGCGAGGAGTGAGCCTAGCTGCAGCCTCTACCCCTCCTGGCACAGCAGTCCTGGGCTGTGGTCAGAGGCACATGTGTGGTATCACCCATGACTTGTGTGCAGGAGGATGGAGCTTATAGATCAGACAACGAGGATTCACAGCCAGAACCACTGGCAACTCTCAGATCAGTCACTGAGCTGAGCGAATGGGGCCTGTGAATGCTCTTTCCCAGAGCACCATGAGCCATGGCCACATGCTGTCCCCTGGCACACGTGCAGGGGTGGAGAGGGGCCGCCAGCAGCCACAGCCTCAGTTCTCTGGCTCCACGCATAGCTGGTCTGTGGCCTCTGGCAGCTCCGAGGGAACACGTGACCCTATAGTGGGCACTGCCACTCGTCACTGGGGCCTCTGTGCTCTGAGGTGCTCACTCAGCTGCCCACCAGGGCCTGGCTGACTGAGCGCGTGCACTGTCTCACCAACAGGCAAACGATGGCCTTACTCTCAGCGACCTCCCTTTGCACATGCTGAGTGACATCTTGTCCCGATTCTCAGATGGCTGGGATATCGTCACCTTGGGCCAGGTGACACCAGCACTGCGTGCACTCAGTGAGGACAGGCAACTGTGGAGGAGGCTCTGCCAGCATCACTTCACGGAGCAGCAGGTGCGTGCACTCCCCTGGGGGTCAGGTGTGTTCATGTCCAGGCGTATTTTTAAGGAACTGGGAATCATCAAATGTAAGAGTCACATACAGCTTTGCGCCTGTAGCTTGTAAAGTTTATTTTTCATAACCTTAAAGCAGCCCAGACAAACAAGAGCGACTTCTCAACAGTCCATACAAGGGTGCCACTCCACTTTCCTGCCTCTCCTGGACTGACTTGAATGCCAGCTGTACCTCTGCCCATGCGGTGCATCATGCAGGGAGTGAGGGCCTCTTGAGTAGGGTGTCCACCCCTGGCGCTGCCCACGCAGAAACGCAGTCTATGCACTCCTGCGCGTCGAGCCCACTGTGGGACAGCACAAAGCATGTGGGCAGCAGGGGGTGTATCCTGCTCAACATCCAGACTGAGCCCTGCTCAGCCAGGTCTGCCCTTGTGCGTTGCATGGATGTTTTAGGGCGTCTGCTGTGCATGAGACAAGGGGGTGGTCAGGGGCAAGCAGACATGTCCCATGCACCAGAAGTTCTATTGAGGGGAGGCAGCTGGCCCACAGCATTAGCTACAGGTTTGGTTGGTGTCATAACTGACACTGTGATGTGGCACAGGATTTCATGCACAGCACACAGGCCAACGCTGCCCGCTCTCGGAGGCTGGGCAGGGGCAACGGAGTTTCTGGAGAAAATTTTAGGCTTCCTAGGCGATGAGCAGATTCTAGACAGAGAGGATTCTGTGAGGAAAGGCCCTGGCAGGGAGGAGTGTCATGTGCCAAAGAGGAAAGGCAGGGTGGGTGGTGCGGTCGCCTACCCAGGCCACATCAGACCTAGTCTTCACACACTGGGCTTAGGAAAGGTCATTCTTGTTTGAGGAACTGACTTGAGAGGGCAGCAAGGAGATCCACTGAGGTTGTGCTAAGGAAGTGGTGGCCCAGAGATGCGACCACTGACCTGGGCACAGTCTGGGGTTCTGTGAGTGCACCCGAGGGAGAGACCAGGCATTAGGTTGGAGTCAGGCAGGCTCAGGGGCCTTTCTAATACCCAAGTGACAGTCCCGAGGAAAGCTGAGGTACGATCTGAGCAGTCAAAGTGGAGTGGCCAGCAGAGAAAGGTCTTCAGGCCATGGGCCCTCTGGAGAGGATGGACAGGGCATCCCTGACAGCCATGCAGCAGAATGGCTGGATTAGTGACGGGTTAAGGGGGACCCATGGGAAAGCTGTTCTGGTGGACTTGTCAGGGGAGAAGAGAGCAAGTCTGTGTGGGTTAGGAAAAGAGGAAAGCAGACCGAACTCCAGAGTCAGCATAGCAAGTGCGGGTGGAGAATTCCTTGGAGGATTTATTTGGAACCCAGGGAAATGCAGACCGAAGGTGTGTCTGAACAGAGGATGGCACTCTGCAGACGGTCCGGAGGGTGTGGGGCAGGTGCCTTCACCTTCTCCCCGTGTCAGGCCCCAGCGTGCTGATCAGAGTGCCTGGTGGCCATTTCACAGAATATCCTCAACCATTTGTGAGGTCCTTGAATTTCCTTAAAAGACACTTCAAGGAAGCGTTACCTCCCATGTTCAATGTCAGATGTTAATACTCAGCAATTTGCACACATAAAAGCACAGCCTTCAGAAAAGTGATCTGTCATTCAGGGCTGAGTAATGGTAAGACTGGAAAAAGTCTGCCATGCTGGAAACAGCCATGACAGCTGCTCGTGAAGACATACCGTCAGCAGGAGGCCATGTTGGGAGGCAAGTGAGGCAAGCACCCTCGGCTGGAGCACATTACAGATGGGGCCCCAGTCCAGAAACGGGCAGCTGGGCATCAGCTCCGTGTAAGCTTGGAAAGGACTGGCCCAGTGGATTTACTCCAGGAAAGAGCTCAGGGGGTGCAGACATCAACTCAGCTGGGCCTGTAACTATTTTTCTTCATCATCCAAGCTGTTCTCTTTGCAAATTCTATTAGAAACAAGAGTTTTCTCATTGACTCCCTAATAGTTTGCAAAGAAAGGCCTCAAAAGCCACTACTGAAGCATTGCTGTGCAGGTGATTTGCAGTTACCAACAGAAAGATGTGCCCAGTGCACAACATGAGAGACCCCCTTCTGAGGGAACCCTGACCACCCCCCGAGCCAGCACAGGTCAGGCTGCCCTGCAGTGTCTTCACACCTTTAACTAAGGTATATTCCCACTGCAGCCATTACCACAGCAAATTTTAGGACACTTCACCTCAGAGAACCCTGTGCTCCCCCAGCCCTCAGCAGCCCCTAATCCATTGCCCAGTACACCGGAAACATGGCATTTTCTGGACTCTATGGCTGAACCCCACTCACCAGCTGATGGCACCTGGGCTATCGCCCCGCGAGCCCACTAAGCTCTTGTTCCACGTCTGTGGATGTGTTTCCATCTCTCCTAGCCACACACCTCAGAGTGAAAAATCTGGGATCTTGGCGACTGGGTTCAAATTCCTGAAGGCCTGTGAGGCTGGTATGCATTCCCACAGCCGGGACAAGGGTCTCTACTTCTCCACATCACCGCTCTCCTTGCTCCTTACCACCTGACTCTAAATTTAGCCCCTGCCTCCCCCACCATGGGTGTGAAGCAGTGTCTCATTCCATTTCTTTGATGATTGACATGTTAAGCATCTTCTCATGGGCTTGTTGGCCATTTATGCACCTTTGGAGAAATGTTTAAGTCCTTCGCCCACTTTATTTTTAGTGAGTTTTAAGTGTTCTTTATATAATACAGTAGATACAAATCCCTTATCAGGTATATGTTACGTGACGTTTATCTTTAACCTACTGATGAGTCACAGACGTCACTCCAGAATGGAACATTTCAATCTCTTTAATCCCTGGTGTTCCAGTGTACAGACACCATGATTTATTTGATTAGCCCCTTACTGGTTTAATCCATCTAAGTTTAGTTTGAAATAATTCAATGTTTCATGCACTGAACTGTCTTTTAAAAATTGTTCTGCACTTAATGCTATGCTATGAAAATCATCTGATTCTGAACAGAATTTTGTTTATGTCTAGTTTTGTAGACATTTGATACTCTCAGAAAAAGGCCATATCGAATGGAAGTTGATGTATTTTGCACTTCAGAAATATTACCCAACTAAGGAGCAGTACGGAGACACTTTACATTTTTGCCGGCACTGCAGCATTCTCTTCTGGAAGGTAACAATTTTAAGTGCACTGTTGGAATTGGAGGATTAACCTTTGGTGAAACAAATTATTAATCTGTGTATTTTAATGGTAATTGTAAAAAAGTTTAAAAAGAGAAATTCCATTTGTGATACAATGTATTTCACCAGATACCAGGGTGGGGAATAGGTGCATCAAAGATGTACAGCTTGTGGTCTGAGTCTCAGGTGCTGAGAGCTGCAGCCTGTGGTTCTCTTCTCCTTTGGATGACTCAGTTTCTCCCTTTGCAGCATGTGTCTGGCGCTTGTGGCCACCATTCTGGGCCAGTGCCCCGCACACCCCCCTTGTATCCCTAGGGAAGCACTCTCTATCTTGCTGTCCAAGACACAGCCCTCAGCCAAGGGTGCTGTGACCAGCCCGACCAGTTCTCAGGGACGGCCCCCAAATGGTCCCTTCTCAAAGTTCTAAGAAGTCAGACTTTTCTTGAATCTGCAAGTCTGACCCTTCAGTGAAAAGCGTCAACTCTGAAAACATCATCTTCAGCAGCTTAAGAGTCCAGTAAATTAGGGTCCTTCATCCTGTCACTTTTTCCCCTACCTGGACCATATCTCTGATTAACTTTCCTACACTCAGAGGTAAATTTTGGTAGGTTCCTCTCCAGTAAAATTTGATTTTTTTTAACATATTAACATTTCATCATGGAATGTGCTGCCAGGGTCTGACTTGAGTTTGAATCCTGTGGAATTTCAACAGGAAAAGGGGCAATGCTGTGGTGGCCTGGTACAGGCCCCTTGCTCAGAGCGTGGCTGTGGGGCCTCACGCCTTCTTTGGGGTGACTGACTTCTGCCTGGTGAACACTACGCCCGTCTTTGTGTTATTTTGACAAACTCGACATTGTTGGCAAAGACATAAGTACTTTAATAAATCTTTTCATTTCAGCAGCATAGCTTCACTTTTAAATTTATAATCCATGTTTGAGGAGTGAATGTAAAGAGGTGTATAAACTCCATTAGAATGACACAATAAACACTTCAACATCATCAGAGGTGAGGGGTGTCGTGAGACTGGAGGACAAAGGGCGCCTGGCCAGAGCAGTCGCTCCGTGGACACTTCCTCAACAATGGGGACATCCTGGGTTCAAACTTTTTCTGGCCTGTTGCTTGGCATTTACTGAGAGGCACTTAGTAAATGTCTGAACGTGTCAGTGGGATTAGAGGTAGCGAGGAGCCCACAGTCACGTGCTGGCAGGGTGGGGCACCTGGGGGTTACACTAGCCTTTCCTGCGGGCCAGTTCTCTGTAACAAGTACATGCTGATGGCCATGGGCGCACCTGCAGGAGCAGGCTGGGTACTCTCAATTCCACTCTGAAGTGATACTCTCCAGCAGCCTGCTTTTCTCCTGAACTGACTGTTTTATTCTTAAAAAGTATTAGAAGCAGTAATGTTTTTCTGGGGTAGAAGTTGTCCCATTTTGCAGGCAGCAGACATTTAGGGGTACTGGGCCCTCCCTGTACTTACACAGTACAGGGTTTCTGCTTTTTGTCTAGCTTTCCAGAAGATTGGCTTGCGGATGCTTCCTAGCAAGCCTTCTGTCACCCTTCATCCTGTGATGGACACTCACAGCAAGTCTTTCCTAGTAAGATGGCTGCTCACAGCCTAGCTCACCGAGGCCATGTGCACCCACACTTTCACAGCTGCAGAGGCTGGCCTTGTGACACAATGCTTGCAGTCAGCTTTGTATTTCTGAGTACGTGTGTGGGAGTCTAAGAAAAAGGCCAATCTCTGGGCTATCTGGTGAAACCCAGTTCCTAGGGTTGCACCAAAGGCAGGCAGATCTCCCTGCACAGCCTGCAGACTGATGTGGGGCTGACTGGACCTGGTCCTCAGCTCAGCTGCTGTGCGGCCACCGGCAGGTCACGGGTCCCAGGGCCTTGTTTTGATGACACAACCTGCCATATAGTTTAAGTTTGGAGCTCCCTGGCACACGGCCTCATCTGCTTCCAAGCTGGCGTCTTATGTGCACTGGGTGCACAGCTGGTGTCAGGGTTTAATGTCTACCTGCCTTTGCAAAGCCTCCGAAGGGGTTAGGAGGAGAAACAATGCATCATAAATACACAGTAGGGTCTCTGGTGCCCTGGTAGTCTGTGAAACAGGACTGCCCAGCATGGGGCCTGACCTTGGTGAGGGGCTATTTCTTGCTCCTATGGCTTTTCCAGCTGGAGCCCTGCCCTCCCAACTGCATGAGTCTTCAGTGAACTGGACATGTTGGGGTGGGGGTCCAGCGCCACCAGGTAGGAAACAGGACTCTCACTTGCTGCCTGGGTGTGTCCACTGCCCAGGACATGGGTACGTGTCCAGTGCTCACACTGCAGGCTGAGGTGGCAGTTGGGAACAGACTGGTAGTTAGAACCTAAGACCAGGTGGTAGCTCCGAGATGCACCATCTGCTGCGTTAGCTGCCGGGATAACATCCCATGTGACCACCCTGTGCGGCCTGTGGGTCTCTGATGGAGGATGAAGCAGGGCGGCAGTGAGGAGGTGCTGCTGGACTAGCTGGGATGGTGTGTTGTCCAGACAGCAGGTTATTGCCGAGCTTGGGCTGGGAAACCATGAATTAGCAAAAAGGCGCATTTCTAAGGGGGGCTGGCCTGTGCCCCGCTCACACGCAGACTCTAGTTAACACACAGTGTTCAGTCATTAAGGAAGGAAGGAATGACTGTAAACTGTATGTGAAAATACCTGAACTGCTCTGCATACTTCCCAGTGAGCACAGCAACCTCCTCAGCTGTCAGCCTGAGACTCACAGGACAGGGAAATACTTGTCACTGTCAGAGACTCTTCCCATTGTCCATGGTGCCTTTTGTGCCTAATCTGACGCCATTACCATGCAAGCTTAATGATGATTTTGCTTACTTATGTAAAACACATAATATGCATCAAACCTAAATGTCTTATATGTGCCGCCTCCTCCTAATCTTATATTTTCCTTTTTTCTTCCCACCCTGCATTCCTTCCTGATTCTTTCTTCACGATCTTAAAGGACTGCCGCCTTGCTTTATTATTCAAGGTACCTCCCTGCTTTACCATGTGTGCCATACATAAACCAAGGTGTCGTGACATGCCAGCCTGCCATAATGCAGACCAACATGTTAGACCACAGCCCTCACTGATCCAGCATCATGGCACGTGTGTTTGACCATCACCCAAACGTGACTCTTGCTTCTTTCAACCACCACCAAGGAATTTTCATGAAGCACCTTGTAGGCAGCCCTGGGCAAGGCTCAGCCCTAAGGGGAATTGGGCCAGGAGAGCTCCTCTAGGTACAGGGCACGCCCAGCAACTCCAGACAGGACATGCAGGTTCCTAGATCTCTAAAGAGTGTGTCAGTCGCTATACACAAAAACCCTGTTTTCTTTTTGCTATAGTTTTCCCTTAAACACACTCCTGAGTCTCCGGTAGAGTGTGAGCTCCCTGCTGCGGGGCTGGTTGTCGGGGTGCCACCCCAGACTTCTAACTGCATGGGCCCCAAGCGTTGGGCTAGTGCTGGGTGGCCACAGGAAAGGGGAGGTACCAGGTCACAGCGGGGATGAGGAGCACGGTGTTAGCCGTGACTGGGGGGACAGAAACCCTGGGGTGCTACCCCTTCTCTCAGGCCCCAATCTCACCCACCTTAGCTGACAACCATGGCAGTGCCTGTGGGGCCCTCACCAGTTCCCCCACTGTCTCTGTGTCAGGCTAGCGCTGTTCCGTGATCACGCCTCTCTCCTCTGTCCACAGGACTCGGGTCACCCCTGCACTGCCTCCGACCCCGACAGCTGCTTCGTGCCCGTGTCCCCGCAGCACTTCATTGATCTCTTCAAGTTCTGAAGGCGCCCTTGCCCTGCGGCTGCCGCTGTTGTTCACGGGAGTCAAGAGCTGCAGAGAACTGGCCCATGTGCACAGGCAGGAATGCACTGTTGTGTATTTCCATCTTTTGGGGGGCAGGGAGCCCAAGCAAAATCATTCCTACGTCCTTCTTTAACAAGTTGTTTTAAGCATATTAAACTTGGCAAACATGGTGCAAAAGAGATTCGCGTTTTCAGCACCACAGTCTGTGTGCTGAACTGATAACAATCAGCCAAGAATAACCTTGTCGTCAAATGACAATTTCCCAGTGTTGTACTGTTTGGGGGCAAGGGGCAGAACAGTTCAATTGGTCCTTGTTCATATATTGTGCAGAATATTTATTTTTCTTAAGATGCATTTTGACTGCAATGGCTGTGTCCAAATGAACCCTTTGAATGCATGTGAGTCCACGGAACCATCTGCAAACCCATCTGGTGTTTGACCAGCAAACGTATGGGTGGCACTCGAGGACAGACGCTGATCTGCCAGCAGGAGGGGCTCTCACTGCACCGTGAGGGGCCTCACTGCTGGGCACCTGCCAACTGAGTCAGGGCCGGCCCATGTTACCTCACCTTGGCTGAGACTTCATAAAGTAATGAATCATGTTTATCATCTTACTAAAAAAAGTAGTGTTAACAATTTAGATACTAGTTATTTAAACCTTAAAAAGATTGTTTTATCTTAAAGAAATGCATGTCCACTTTAGAAAACATTGAAAATAAAGGTGTGCAAAAAAATAAGTCGCCATAATCCTGCCACCCAAAGGTAACTGTGCTTGTCAGAAAGAATGTGAACAATAGCCCCCCAGCAGCCACAGGGGGAATATGTAGTGCTATGTATTTTCACCTTTGAATAGAGTTGGGGACTCAAGCAAAATAATTCTTACTTCATTTTTTTTTTCTTCTAAGCATAGCAAGATTTGCAATTCTGCATATTTATAAATAAAGATTCTGGATTTTCACCACATTCTGTGCTGAACTGACACTACAAGTGAGGAATATGCTTCTTAAATGTCAAATGATAGACGGTTTCCCTCCAGGTATGGTGTGGAGATCCAGCACCTGTGTATTCATAAAACCATAGCAATTCTATATACAATGTTGATTTTATAACCAGCCGTTTTTTCAAAAGCATTTTTGCAAACATATTTTTTCTGGCTATAGAGTGTCACACAGTTGGAAAAATCTGTTGTCATGACATTCAGATTTTGATTTTTGCTATTAACATAACTGTGATAAGAGTCATTGTACTTAAACTTCTGTGCATCTGATTATCTCAAGATAAACACAAAGCAAGAGTGAAACTTTTTTAAGGATGTTTCCAGACTGCTGGTGAGAATACACCTTGTCATGTCTTCCTAAGAGATGGGGAGCCGAGTGCCCACACTCTCTGAAGACTGGTGCTACTTAGACAGTTGAGGGTCAGTGCAATCTAGTATGTGGCTGAGCATTTCTTGTTTGTTCATTTCTGGTAAATTAGCTAATGGGTCATATTATTGTACTTTCATATGTGGGTCTTTTCTGTGTCAGCTTCTTCCTGAAAGGGTATTATTCCCTTCTTAAACCTGCAGTTCTTTTCCCAGAAACAGTTTTCATCGTGTAGGGAAAAGAGTCCTGCTGTTCCTTTATTGGCACATTTTGCAGGCAACAGACGCGCTCAAACCCCAAACTGCGAGTGCACGTTGGCAAACCTACACCGTGTATGAGGCACGGTGGTCCTGGGAGCACTAACAGGGACTCACTCGGCTGTGTGAGGCGAAGACCAAGTCAGGAGACAAGAGTAAGTGGAAGTGTCATGGTTCACACCCCTCAGCAGTGTTTCTCAACACAATTCCAGGCCGCAGGCCTGCACTCTCCACTGGACCCAACCACACTTTCTCTGTTGAAGTGGAGATTTTAGGACACCCTTAGCCGCAGAGCAGGCGGTAAGTCTCACACCCTTTGTTCCCTAATAGGTGACACCACAGTCAGGGTGACCAGAGCTGCCCCACAGGAGTTGCCCACCAGGGAAAGCTGATGTGTGGACATCATCTCAGCTCCCCTTTGCCTACTTCAGGTGAGAAATATAGTTTTGTACCTCAGTCTACAAATGTATAGGAGTCAGAAAAGGCCAACTGTAGAGTTTCTACAGTAGGTCACCAAATGAAGCCGTATCTGCCTGTTATACATATTTACCAGATTGGGCTGCATGCAGAGAACTGTGTACTTAAGACAGTAAAGGTTTTGACCATGTACAACTTTTGCTCTAAGTGCTTTTAGAATCATACACGCAACACTTGCATAAGGTGTTTGAATGCTAAGATGTTTGAATGCAGAATCGTACTCTACAGCCTTGCTGACCCAGTCATTTGGCGGGTACGACCCTGCTCAGGTGTCGCTAGTTACCATCATTGGTCTGGAGGCCCTTTCTGTCCGGCCAGAATCCATGCGGTGTTGCACAGCAGTGCTCCACTGTCAGGGAGTGTTCAGTCTTTCCCCCACAGGTGTGATGGTAGCTGTGTGCTCTTTGCAGGTGCCCTGATCAGGCTGAGGCTGTTGCTTTTTTTAATCAGGAAAGAGTGCTGGATTTTGTCATGTGTCTTTTCTGTCTCAGTGGTCGTGGGGTATGCTGAGTTAGTTGATTTTTTTATGCTGAACCATCCTGCATTCTGGATTCAGATCATTAGTGGTTGTGGTGTGTGATCCTTTTTATTAATGGCTGGAATAAGTTCATTGGTATTTCCCCAAGAGTGTGTCCTGAGAGATCCTGGTGTGTCCCTTTCTTTGATTTTGGCTTCAGGGTAAGTGAGTTTCCCCTTCTGCTAGTGTGTAAAGGATTGGTGTCAATTCTGTGAGTGTTTGGTGGGATGTCTCAGGAGACTCAGGGCTTCTCTTCATAGCACACACAGCTTCTTCATAGAAGAGCCCCGCCTCCTGCCCCCTAGCAGGACAGGGCAACTTTGTCTCAGCATGTCTTAACTAGTTAAGCTCTTCCTTCTCATGGTTGACACCCAGCCTAGCAGATGAGGGGGCTGTAGGACTCAGCTCTGCAGTTCACCGCCCTTTGTTCCCCCCACCAAATGCAGCAGCCGGTGAACTGCACCAAGTGTGGACAGAGTCTCTGTAGGACCTGCCCGTCCACCCTGGCTGCCAGCATCAGAGCTGGGTGCCCTCCAACCGCTGTGCCCTCCAGGCTGAAAACCCTCATTTCCCTTCTCTTCTCAACTTACTTTTCCATTTCCTCCTCTTTACACGGAGAGAGCAGACTCCTAACCTTTTGGAAAGTGGTGTCCCCCTGAGCCCAGTGCCAAACGCCAGAGCCACCTGACTGAGCTGAGCAGCTGCTCATGGACGTGCTCATGCCTCCCAAGACCCCAGCACCCATCAGGCGAACTAGGACCCTCACTCAGCAGGCATCCTCAATTCGCGCCGTTGCCAACTCAGATCCCAGGTAAGATGGAGAGGCCTGGAGCACAGACAGAGAAGGACCAGGGAAGAGTTCCTGCACCATGACTTGGGGGCACAGTCACTTAGGACAGTGGGTCTCCAAAGAAATCCTGTTGCCCCCCCATGAGATGCTTACAACTGTTGTTTTGTATTTTGGATAAAAACTCCACTTTTTGATGTGTTCGGCACAGATGAACACAACAAGTACTTTTTTGTTTAATCTGCACGGAAAATTCTAATGTCATTCATTGAAAATTTTTAATTATGCTGAAATATATCTAAAATTTACTATCTTAACCATTGTTAAGGGGCATTAAGTGCATTCACCTTCTTCTGCAGAGATCTCTACTCTCTGTCTCCAGAACCCCAACCTGACTTTTCTCTCTCTGAACCTGACCTTTTTCTCTTTTTCAAGTCACCTAACCTGGTGCTTTGCTCATGAATGAGAGAAGGGGTAAAACCCTAACTCGTGCCTCCTCTGCTGCTCTGAGCCTCAGGGGCTCCATCTGCTTCAGCCACCAAGGACAGAAGTGGCTGCTTATTGTTAAGTGCCCCAGATGCAGGGACCTTGCTCACAAGAGAGCTTGTACTTCCTGTTGTTAGAATTGCAGTAACTGCTTTACTCAGGATGTGTTCCTCCCCTAGGTGACACTGCTGTCAAGTTCTGGGGCCAGAGGAAGCTGCTGCACTGCTTTCCCAGGTTCTTGGGGAAAAACAAGAGGGACGCCATCTCATTCACTCAGACGGACCTCGGGCCTCTTTCATCAAGGCGCCCTCTGCCTTTCTGAGGATGGTGCATACGTGACCCCAGACAGATGTGAGAAACATTCCAGGTAAAGAGGCGTTCTTTTAACCACTGGCAGTAAGACTGGCTAACTTAGGGCATCATCTGATTAACATTTGCCTGTAATTTTCTTGACATTGCACATGGCCATAAAGATACCACTGTTTTACCACAGAAATGTCTCCAGACCTCCACAATCCACTCAGGCACAAATCTAGCTCCTGCCTCCGCCTGTTACACCACCTTCTTCTTCCTTGTCCCCTTCCCTGGAATCGCTTGTTCCATGTGAACAGCCCAGTACAGTAAGTGCGCATCGGTGGGCTAGGGCCTCCCCCTTCTACTGGAGGGATGGCCGGCTACTTGGGAGCTACCCCCATAGGGACTCCTGCAGGGCCTTCACTCTCTCTGGGCTTGCAAACCAGTACTCAGAACCTATCCAGTCATGGGCCAGGGGCTTGTGGCCCCCTCATCTATTCCATACTCTGCCTCTGTCAGAATGCTCAGCTCAAGCACACAGTACCACCTCTACGCTAAGGGGGCTGTTCCGAAGTGAGCAGAGCCTTCCAGGGCTGGTTTTGGACCCGAGCGTGGCCCATGGTGGGCCTGTCCAGCCCTGCTACTGTCTACTGCACTCCAAAAATACAAATGGAAAATTCCAGAAATAAACAATCCAGAAACTTTAAACCAAGTGCTGTTCTGTATGATGAAATCTCACTCCATTAGCCACTATTGGTCTCACAGAGCCTGTGCTCACAGAACCCTTAACAGTGGTTGTGCTGGCTAGTTGACAAGATGTAATGTGCTTCCTTCAGTTGAAAAGGTGAGTTCTCAAAAAGGGAAACAGAAATTGAATGCTGAGGTTGCTGAGATCCGTGGAGGACAAAGCAACTGTGTGACACTGTTATACAGTCATTGGTTCACCAGGAGTACACAGATGGGTGAGACATGAGCGGGACACTCCGGCAGAGGGGATGGGTGTGCATAGAGAAGTGCCACTACCCCAAGTGCTCTGTTGTTGGGGACAGTTAATTCTGCGACTACATGGCACGAGTGACTCCCCTGGGTGTGGAAGGGCTAGGATTCCACATCCTGGGAATGGGACACAATGCCCTGGCCACTACAAAAGTGGAGCAGCTCAGGCTGTTTCTACCTCCAGCTACAGCTTCATGGCTTCAGCGCCTTGAACACACTTGATAGCAGCTGATGCAGACCCTCCCTGGACACATCCATTCTGGGAGACATTCACTACTGGCAGAACAATAATGTTCCCCAAAGCTGCAACAGGGAATTAAAACTGCAGCGCCGATGTCCGCTGGCAGAACTCATGGAATAAAGAGATGTGAGGAAAGCCATTCACACACCAGGTATAGTACTTGCCTGAGAGGTGGGGGGTGCGCTGAAGGCTCTTGAGGTGTCACCTACAGGGGCAGGTGGACCCTGCCACAACCTAAGTACTCCAGACTGCACAGGTGTATGGACAAAACCGGGGAAGGGCGTTATTAGCCAGCCATGATCGTCGGAATGAGTTAATGAAAGAGATGACGACTTCTGATATCAAGGTTCTTTTAAAAGGTTTCAGCAGAAATCTTTCAACCATCACAGATCACCAGCCACATCAGGGCTCAATGACTCCAAGTAACCTGAAGAGGATGGTCCTGCTGACCCACATCCCCATCTTGCTGGTTCCTGAGGTGAGGACAGTGCAGTGAGGCAGAGAGCAAGCACATCCACAGAAGTCATAAATTAAATGCTGTCAGACAAGATCGGGAACAGCACAGTCCTGACTGTCCCCTAGGGGTCTGGACGATGTTCCCTGCCAATACGGGGGGGGGCCGCTGTACGCTGTAGTATGAATGGTACATAATGACACTCCCACAGTTTGGAAAGGTTCATGGGCAGATGCTACCAGGGCAAAACCACCCTTTCTGGTTCTAGAGCCTCCTACTCACTCACCTCTGGGGCAGACTGCTCAGTCCTATGAAGCCACATCAATCTACTCGTGTGGGTGGCTAGATGGGGACCATGCAGGGAGGCAGGGCACAACACCCCCACCACACAGACCCTGCAGGTTGCTGACACTCATTTAGTAGCACCTGGGTGGGGCTACATCTGCAGAGGAAGGGGTAAGGGATCCCCTGAAGGATGCAATCCTGCCTGCTATCACCCAGGCTAAAGTCCTGAGAAAGTAGGAAGCTTTTAGGAAGCAGACTTGATCTGGATCAAGGTAACTCACGGAAAGCAGACGTGTAACCCCTGGACCAGCAAAAATACACCACAGACCCACTGCCTGCACTTGACAGCCTTCCTGTGGCCTTCCCACTGGGCTGGGGACATGCCTCCAAATCATTCTTAGTTACAGTGAGCCTCTGTAAGGCCCAGTCTGGGTCATGGCGGATGACGGCTTGGGGGCCAACCAGCACGCAGGGCCCAGATCTACAGGACTCAGGGCCAGACAGCTCCTCTGCCTTCCCACCTGAGCACACCTTGAATCGGCTCATCCTCCACAGCACAGACTAGCCTGGCAGCTGAACTCTGACCTCACTTTGGTCATAGAACAGCAGCAACCCTGCCTTCCAGGAGCACCCGGAGACCCACCCTGGCAGGTGGAAGGCCCAGATGTGTGGAGGCGGCCTGCACTATAGTGGCCAGGTCCCCTCTAGTGGAGGCAGAGGCACTATTTCAACTGTCATTGTTAAGTTTTTGTTGGGACTCATTTCTGGTTTTGCTCAGATTTCACCCCTGAAAGTCTGAATCCTCACCTCAGCCAGCTGTCAGCTAGAGTTTCCAGTACAGGGAACTGAAACCTATCGACTCAGAAAATAGTCTATACTTCCCTCAGGGGAAGTGACCGGCTGTGTTTCTCTCCCTCCCCACCTACTTTGCCATGCCAGGTCATTGTCTACATTTTACCCAGCAAATGTGTGCGAGGAGCTGCCGACCTTGCCCTGTGGGGAAAGGCCCGCTGTGTGCTCCACACTCTACAGGGCCCATCTTCCACAGAAGCCAGCATTACTGTCCTGACACATGGCACACGCCATGGGGGGCGCCTCTTGCACAACCCAGATGAAATCTCGGGTCAGCATCGCTCTGAGTGTGTGCACAGTAACATACCCTTTACTGTCATAAGAGGTAAAAAGGGGCATAAGGATGCTCATAAACCTGAAAATAAACACAGACACTCATGTCATCAAAGCTGCAAACCTCCGAATGAAACCTGAGGAAACAGCTCTACAGCAGTGACAGCACAGAGGGAGCTGGGGAGACGCTTTGGGGCCAACTGACAGGGACTATGACCCGGAAACAGCCTTTCAGCATCTGGACCCTCCTGCTTCCACATCCCCATTACTTCTTCCCAGTGGGAAAGACCCATAGGCACGTCTCTGGATGCCAAGCAGCCTGCCCACCAAGAACAATGCTGGCAGGTGAACAGAGCTGTGGACACGAGTGGCCAGCCTCACATACTGACCAGAGGGTGGGCCAAGCAGACCCTCCCCATTTGGTGCTCCACTTCCCAGAAGAAGAGTGAAATCAGGAAAAAAATGAGGACAAAAAGCAACTTCTGTGGAATTCGAGCATTCCCTAGAGAAAGAGCTGGATCTGTTGTGCTTTAAAAAGAGCAAAGTGAGAGTGCTGGGCCAGTGCCCTGATGCTCCCCCCCCCCCCACTCTGTGAGGCCTGAGCAGTCGAGCCGGACTGGCGCGTGGGGCTGCATGGAAACCAAAACGGGCGTTCAGCTGGCTCAGCCCCACCACCAGGTAACGCATAGCCTCAGGGCTGGGCTAATGGGGCACCAGCAGCCGTAGGGCAGGAGGGTGAGCTGGGGAGTTGGGCCTTAAACCTGGGGACCAACCCTACAGCCTATGACTCCCCAACCCATGACCCCTGCAGCTGCATGTCCTGAGCCCCCCTGAGGGTGGCTGGGGAACTAGGGGCAGGGTCTGGGGGAAAAGAGCATAGCTTCCCAGTCCTCCACATGTATGCACAGAATGTGGCCAGTTGTGAGCCAGGAGGGAAACTCTTACCCCACACAACACATTTCCTGCTGACCCCAACCACAGATGTTAGCTGGCTGCTCAGCAAGGGAGCAGGCACTACACCGCCACACCTGGGCTTGGGTGGGCAGCGGTCCCTAAACATCACTTGGCAGGGTCACCCTCAGCGCCGAGTCCACCGACCCGGCCCAGCGCCGGCTGCCTTTGGATCTCTGCAGTAACATGAGACAAGGAAAGACCACAAGTGCTCAGGACCCCCAGCCTGCTCCCTCCTCAGTCCCCTCTGACACATGCCACGTCAGAAACAGGGAAACAGGCTCAGGGAGGTCACCTGCCCCCTCTGCCCCCAGCTTCCACTGGGGACCTTAAAAGGACACCCCCCCATCCTCCAGGCACCTTGCCATCCATCTGCTCTCCCCACCCAGTTTACTAACAGCTCAGCTCAAGTATTTTCAAAACACTGAGCTGTCTTGTTGTAATAGAACTCTTATTTAGGAACAACTGGCAAAGCTAGTTCATTGCTCTTCTGCTTAATGGTAAACCTGTCATTTTTCCTTTCATCATGATTCTATAGAAGCATATACATCACAATCTAGTGCTTTTTCTTTATTAAAAGAGGTGTATTCACTAGGCTGAGCTTGCGGCTTCTCTCAATGGCTCACAGGCACTAAAACAAGACAGAAGCTGTGGAAGGAGGTGACTGCTCCCCCTTCACGCCAGCACCTCCCCATGTGAGTAGCACTGCCCATGAGAGGGCGCAGACGTGAGCAGCCATGCCAACTCTAGGACCAAGCTGCACAGTCACTGGGTGAGCAGCTTGGAGAAGCCCCAGAGTGGTGGTGGTGGTTTCTGAAGAACTGGAACGCAGTCAGTCAGTCACTTCAACTAACCCAAGCCGGATTTACCCGGATTCAGCTCTCACCCAGACTGCTTGTGCACTGGGGTCATGAATCTGGGGACTACAGAATGCTGGCCTTGGCCATGCCCGCCGACTGAAGCGTGGAGCGAGCAGCAGCTGCTCTTGCTAGGAAGGAACGGGGCTGCGGCCTGGCACCACATGCCCGAACCAGTGCCAAAGGTGGGGCCGCATCACCGCCTTGATGAAAATCCTGTTTTTCTACCAAAACATGAACAGCAGCACTCGGTTAGTTGTTTGGCACTGTTAAAACCTCCTCTGGGCTATTCTTAACGTTAAAAAGTTTACCACAAAGTTAGGAAGCTATCTGAGCAACTTCTCCCTTTAAAGCTTACTAAATGGTGGCTGCCCGCTGGCCTTCTGTTCAATCAAATGCCAACTGAGGAAATAAAAACTGGAAAGTAGATAGATGGCTAAAATCAAACCGGCAGAGGGAGAGAAGGGAAAATCCCCATGCCTGTGACAGCAGCCAGCAAATAATGAGGACGTCAGGAATGCAAGTCACAAGTGACGATCTGCGACAGGTCTGAAACCCTCATGCGGAAGTCCGCACAACGAGGCAGGCTGGAGCAGGAGGCGAGGGCAGCAGGAGTCCCACACAGAAGCTAGCAGCAGAAGCACAGCTGTTCAGCACACAGACCGGATGGGAAAGCAACAGGCTCTCCACCCAGGCCAGGGGCGGGTTTGTCTGGTCTTACAGGAGGTAATGTTCTTCTCTGTGACAGGCCACTGTTTCTGAAAAAGACGTTTCTCTAAGAAACGGTAATCTTTTTAAGAGACAAAGATGATTAAGTAAAAAGCACTCCTACCACTGGGTACTGAGGGCAAAGCTTGCTTAAGGCTCTAACTCATTAAATTAAGAGACAGTAAAATGCAACACCGTCACCAGGTCACAGGGCACCCAGGGGGGGGCGCTCCAGAGCGCACATCAGCCCAGAGCCAGGGCTGGGACCTCCTCATTGACATACAAGCAGCGTAAGAATGCAACTCAAATACGCAAAAGATACATAGGTTGAAATTGCTTATTTATTTATGAAAAACTCTACATGTATTGTTTGCTTTTAAAATGAGGCTAAAGTGTCAAGAAAAGTGCCATTAGCTCTAAGATTAAAGTCATCGTAAGCATTCACCTTTAAGTAGGTGCCAATGATAGTCATGCAAACTTACAATGGAAGAAGACATAGATGGTATTTTCCTTACAAAACCTCAGCATTAACGACACATTCTACCTTCTATGAAGCAAATCACTTTCCTATTAAAACATAATAAAACAGCAGGGGTGCAGACAATTCACTTTTCACAGAGTTCAACAGAATTCAAACAAAAATCCCAGAACTAAAACCACATTAACCACATTCTCCCATGAACTTGTGAACAAAACAGCAAAGTTGCTTTGGTAAATTCTGTCAAGGAAAAATAATCTTCTCCCAAAGCACACTGATAAATATTTATATTAAAAACCACGAATGTAGTTATTTAATCAGAAACAACAGAAGAAAACATTTATTTTTACATTAATCTTTGTAGATAAGAAAAATGTGATTTACAGTGCACATTCCAGTCCAATCTGGCTTTGTCTTCAGATTTTGAGAAACATTATGAATAACTCTTGTTACCGAGGTGAGTTACAGGCACTTAGCATTACAGCATACAGATCTGGGCGCAGCAAACTCAGAACTCCCCAAGTGCAACAGACTTTCCGAGTCTTGGTGTTCACTTTCCTGTGCCTCGAGACAGGACTGGCCAAAGACAAACCTTCAGCCTGGCTCCTGCTTTAAAATACCTGCATAATCAATCCGTGGCATGCACACAGTGCGAACAATCCCGGCGACTATTTACCTGAGGAAGTGAGATTATTTCAACTCAGCTAGCTATTACACTAGAAATTATAATCTTTCCTCCTGGTTATAAAACAAAGAAAGCCTTCCCCATTTCAAGGTTCCAGCACAAGTCGGACTTTTAACATCACTTAAAACACAGACCCTTTCAAGGCTTGGTCAAGTAAACCTCTTGTTCTGCTAAAAAGAGATAGGTAGACACACAGTTGGATGACAGAGATGGATAGACAGGTAGGGAGAGAGGACAGAGATGACAGATGTTCTGTCAAGTCATGAGTCCTGCAATCGTCCAGTGTCCCAACGGAACGCTACGTGGAATGGACTAGAAGTGCACACTGAGCTGCTTGAGGACAGTTTCCTCACAAGAGGAATGTACAAAAAACCTGTACCCTTTCTTTCAATCCACCACTACCTAAGACGCATACATGCATTGCCTGTCGACAAGAGACATGTGCTGGTCGTGCCTGACTCAGGATCACTTTCCAAGGACACAGAGCAAGTCTGAGAACACTAGACAGACGCCTCAGCAGTGCTCTTATCAGCCGCAACACCACTTCCCAGGGACCAAGCCACTCTCACAGCATAAGCCTGGGTATTATGGGAAAGAGGCACTTTCAGTATTTTCTGTAGTTTCAACTCTAAGATCCGTACTTTAATCTGCAGAGGAAGAAGGAGAACAAATTTTTAGAAGGAAGCGAATACCAGTATTTAAAAGGAAAACCTCGAAGAAAGAACCACCATTGCCACCCTGTGAGCAGGTGGCTCCTTCCTCCCCTGGCGAGGCTGCAGACGTGCTTGCAGATCACATACAGCCTTTGCTTTTCCACTGCTCAATTTGTTTACGTATTTTTTTTTTTGAGAGGGCATCTCTCATGTTTACGTATTTTTTAACTTAATATGGAAAACAGTTTCACTTGCCAGGTCACCACAATCTACCATCTCCTGTGGCGGTTTCATTTTACACCTGGACTGTGAGTCTGGCAACAGAAGAGAGCCGCACAGCCACCGCGCTCTTGTGTGTCAGATGGCCCACAGAGACTACATGCAGGATAAAAGCCAAGAAACACGAGGGGAAGGCCTGAGAACAGTTTTGTGGAAAAGTGTGGATCGTGACTGGCCTCTTAATGGACAGCATCAGAGGTTCACACACCAGGTCTCAGCAACAAGTGGACTGAGAGGTGGGCATCCCCATAGTAAGGCAATCAATCAGTGAGGGGGTCACAGCGGGCCGGGCACATCCACTCGACACAGAGACATGAAAGCCAGCCGAGAACCAGGCACACGGTGACCCTCCGCCTCCAGCACAGGGAGGCTACGACGCACTAACAGGAAACACGTGGCACAATAAATGAGAATCGGAACAAGATACACAGGCATGATACTAGGCAAATTTTGGTTTCAAAGTACTTGGGAAGCGGGTTCTCCTCTGTCCCAGGTGTGTCCTCTGACTCTCACTCGAGCTCCTCCCAGTTATCCGTCAGGTGGCCTTTGCTCTGCCGTCTAATACTGACCAGCTTCCCGGCTGCCTTGAGGCTCCAGCAGGAGCTGTTTGCAGAGCTGGCCAGGCTGCTGTACTTGCCGGAGCCCTTGGCGTCCTCCTCCCAGCCTGGCCGAAGAGGACGGTCACTCAAGGTGTCAATTAATGTTATTAAGGAAAAGCTAGTTACTGTACGTTACGAATGAAACTTGCAAAGCCCACACCTTGAGATACCTCACTTGGCGGTACACAAGCAAAGAACTAGTTCTCAGATGAGACACAAAAGAGAAGTCGCTCTAGGCGCTATGAAAAGGATGCTCAACGCTGAGAAAACCCAGGGTCCAGATTAAGGAATATGGAAAGACTGTTCCATTTATCAAATTGGTTTTCACCAGGGTTATTCACGCAGCACACTAGTCTCGAGCATCTATAGGTAATTTGCTTAAGAGAAAGAAATAAGAATTCAGAACATCTACCATGAAATGGAAAGGCCAGCCAACTGGTGGTGGTGAACATGCTCATGCATTAGTGCAGGGTGCTCCGTGTTGGCTGCTGGTCCTGCAGCCTGGCTGCTGGGAGCACCCCCAGGGCAGTGTTCAGGCCTCACCCCATCGACTCTCATGTGATCTGACCAGGGGCCAGGACACAAGGTATTCCTTCAAGGCCCCCCCGGGGGGAGACACATATTTGCCACCACCTGACGGCCAAGAGGACTCGCGCTATCCTCCCAGAACAGAACATGGCAAAGTCAGGGCAGGGCCACACCTGCAGCCAGTGGGGGGCGTGGCAGAGCTACCCCAGAGCCTCACACAAGCACCTTCTCACTTTCAGGCTCACCAAGATTCGCTTTCTAAGCAAACATCATGCTGTTGGCAACACCATTAGGTTCTGACTAAATACCTTTTCATCTTTAAACACACCTTAATATTTCAAAACATTTATAATGAACTACCAGCAATATGTCAGTTTAAATACACTCAATTTTCTAGAATCTTAAAGAGTTTACTGATCAAGGCTTACGTTTACCTGTGTTTTTTTCCCTTGATTTTCTGAAACTAGTAAACATCTTAAGCATGGCTGCAGGCTGCTTTCAGGCTAGTAAGTCCAGTTTATAATTCGAAGTTCAAAGGCCAGTCTGAGAAACTTTTCTGCCAAAAGTACATTTTACTTCCTTTTGTTTCCAGAACTCATTTCCCTTTACTGACAAGGGGGAAGGAAACTCTAATTGTCACATCCCTTTGCCCTGCTATCTGCCCCACAAAAGGGAGGGACACAGGAAGGAACAGAGCATGTGAGCCAGCCAGTAGCCTGTGAGTTTCAGGTGAACTTCACACAGGCACTGAGAGTCACCTTGCCCTTCTGAGGGACCACTGGCCTCGACAACTGGGACTTACCCTTTAGACTTGGGAGATCTACATCTTTCGAGCAGATGTTGTTCGTCGTCTTTATTAAACAGAGAAGTCACTTCTTTCCAACCTCGGAAGCTTGCTCCCTGAACCTAATAAAAGGTTAAGGAAAAGATCAAATCTGAAGTAGTAAATAGATGACAGTTTTGTAATCCAGTAACTGTGGAGTTGGATTTAGAAAAGAAATTGGCACAGATTTCCTTACCCTGCTGTATCCACACACATTTAGTTCTCCCATTAGCTGCAGGTAATCTCAGATGTCATGTCCCACAGACCCCATCAGCTTGTCCATGCTGCTGAGGAGTCTCCCCATTTGGTAACAGTACTGATCACAGAGTTCACCAAGCAAGGATGTGCACTCCCCTCCACAGTTAGATTTTGGAGAAGAAATAATTTTGTTTGATTCTAAGACAAATGATTTGTACAACTTTTCATTTCTGAGATCAGAATGCATCTTAATAGTGCCTGACCCCTTAGACTCAAAGGCATACATTAATAAGAAGGAATGGAAAAGGGGGGCTGACCTTTCCTGGAGGCCTGTGCCAAGTGCCCCTCCCCAGGAGCCCAGCGCTAGGGTTTTCCTTTGCTTTTTTGGAGGGGAGGGAAGGGCATTGGGAGAAGGTGTCTCCCACAGTGCAGGCCTAGCTTTAAAATACTGTGAAATGTTAAAAATGCAACATATAAAAATAAAGCAAACCGGAAAGCTGAACCAAGAGGCGGCATGGGTAGTGGGGCAGGGACATGGGACAGGAGCATCACGGTAACTTTTCTTGCCTGTGATGAAAATGCCAAGATGTAAACAGCGTAGTAAGAAAAGGAAGGACTCCATCTGAAGGCTAAGATTCCATTTCAAAAACGGGGGAGTTAAAAGGTCAGATTCCTAACACAGGTTCAACACCCTATCCTAAGGCAGAGCAAGCAGTCCTGACTGAGGTTCCCAGTGCCTGAGGGTCACCGCCGTCTTGGAGAAGAACAGGATCACTGCATTCCTTGGGTTCATCTTGCAGAATATCTAGAGGACGGACTATGGATGGTGACATGGTGTCTCTCACGAGACAGTCATGAGACTGCATGTCAAGCCTATGCCCCCCAGCCCACAACCAGCCCTTTGCCCTGTTGAGAGCCATAGGAGACGGAATGCAAGGCCTTAAGTGCGCCTCCTCTCCGAGGCTGCCCTCACTCCTCTCTTCGCGTGTGCGCTCTCTGCCTTCCATAAAACCTTCTCACTGCTCAACTTACTACGTTTTGTCTCTGTGCTCTTCCAGTGGTGTCTTCGTTACTTACTATTTCACTCAATTTTCTAGAATTGGCACTAGTCTTCTCTCTCTCTGTTCTACTCCAGACAAGTAGGGAAGAGCTACTGAGTTCTCTTATTTTGGCTTGCGAATTCCCATCACCTGGGTGACCCGGGGGGGGGATGTAATAAGAAATACACATTTGGTCACTCATGACCAAATACATGTTTCCCAGGTATATCTGGTCTTCATCCACAGTTCCTGAAAACACTGTAGAGTCTTACAGGTGAGACGGGTGTTGTGCCATGTTAATGAGAGACTTTTGGACTCGTACCCAAGGGCAGGGGCTGGAGGCTTTATCAGCCAGTGGTCAATAATTGAGTCGATCATGACTGTGCAGTGAAGCCCTCACAAAACCCACGAGAAGAGCTTATCACTCTCTGCTCTGCTCTGCGTGCCCCGCTTGGTTGGAGAGAGCTTCCATGCTTAGGAGACCAGAATGCCTCCAGGTGCCACGGAGCCAGGCCCCAAACTCCACGGGGACAGAAGGTCCTTTATTACACTGGTAAACATAAGCGTTTTCCTGAGTACTGTGAGCCAATCTAGCAAAGTAAGTGACCCTAAGGGGAAGGTTGTGGGAACCTCCACAGTCTGTAGTCAGTAGGTCAGGGGCACAGGGAGCCCCTGGGCCTTGCAACCAGTGTCTGGAATGGGGGGTGGAAGGCAGTCTTGTAGGATGGATCCCTTTAACCTGGGGAATCTGGATTGAGTTTTCTCAGAGACCCTGCTGGTGTTCAAGAATTGCTTGGTGTTAGAATGTGTGGGGAAACCCCCTCCCACAGTCACACACATTGGAATCAGGTCCGGGAACCTGAATGGAGTTAAACTGCTATTACTGCTGGGTATAATAATGTTATTGTTATACATATGTGTAGGGAAAGAAGACACCATTGCATTTGGTATTGGATGAGTGGGAATCACACCCGGAAAGGACTGCAGCTGTACAATCATGCTCCTTAGCACGCTGCCTGAAAATCTCCTCTGTCTTTGCCTGTAGAAGTTCTCAGAACTTCATCTCACTCCACCCAGTGCCTCTCCCAAATCCTGGGGTGGGTGGGGGCTTAGTTCCCACGCTGTGCAGATTCAAGGAGACACTCAATGCAAGGTGACCCTGGTTTCAGGAGTTGGCAAGGGAGCTGCCCTGTGCTGAGCAGGAGTTCAGTGGCTTCCTTTTTCTCTGCTCTTTCTTGTTCTCTGCTGCCTGCAAGGCAGCTGCCATCATTCCCTGATACTCTCACTTTAATGAATTCCTTCCTTACCTGCACTTGTCCAACCCGCTCGAGAATCTTATTCAGTCAAGACCCCTCTCCCATCCAGGCTGAGGTTTCTCCTAGTGCTTCACCTAGTGCACAGGGAGAGACCTCCCCAGATGCAGCTGCCCGGCAGCAGTAGGAGACAATCGATGGAATGGAACCTGAACCCAGCCCAGTGGCCTGCCGAGGATCCGCAGCTGTGTGCCACCTGGTGCCAGGGTGGGCAGTCTTCACAAGTGAGGTCCCACCACTCAGGAGTCCCACCTTTGTCTTCATCAGGCAGGCTCCCTGAGCCCCTTTGGGCAGAGGTCCATGTCCTTAGATGGCACAGGAAGGCTGACAGCTCCCACGTTGAGAGGTGTGCATGCACATGGCAGAGGCTGAACAAGTGCAGCCGCTTGTGCCCTCAGTGGGAACTGTCACATCAGGAAGGACGTGAGGCCTCAGTCTGCCACGTTGTGTGCTGCACACACTCCTCCCAGTCCCAGTCACTGCAATGGCTGTGCGGAATTGCATGCATGCCAGGGAAAGTTCTGCGCTTTGTCCTCCCAGGGGTTCTGGGAGGCACTTCTCCAAGAAGCAATGGTCAGCCTCCAAGAGAGCCTGTTGGGATGCCAAGGCTCATCACAACAGTCTAGACTGGACCCTGCACGCCTCTCTGGGAGGACCAAGAGCCCTCAGGAAGCTCACACTCAATCAGGACAAACAAAGGCCACGAACTGGAAGTTGCTGGGTGCTAAGCTATCATGAGTAGGAGACAGCATGGAGGCCGTGAGCAGTGGGACCAAAGGCAAGCCTGAACTCACGTCTCCCCTGGAAGGTGCCAGGGCGAGCCGCACACTGGAACAAGCCCCTCCCTCTCCACACTTCTGGGACAGCCTCTTCTACACCGGGTCCCCTGACCCACCAGATCCTCCCCCCTCTGCCCCTCACCCTTCTGGGTCAGCACTGTGGTCTCAGCCACACTCCTCCTCAATGCTCCAAAGGCAATGCCCCCAGGATCCATTTCTGATGTCATCATGGAAATTAACAAGAAAGGGGAACTGATATTAAGTCATTACCCAGTGTTTGCATGGAAATTGCCAGGAAGAAGATAAAAACGTAGTTTTAAATACACGTCCCAGAAGAGGAAAAACGGAGAAAAACTTGCTAGAAATGAAGTGAACTGTGAGGGTGTACACCAAACAGGTAAATGGTCTTCTCTTAGATACAGAAATTCACAGGTAAAGTCACAATACAAGGGGTCTAGGTTTGCAGTGTAGCATTATTACCAACAGATGAACTGTAATCAACAGGCCACAGCTCACTGAGTGGACAGCACACTGAAGGCCACTTGGCGCCTTTTCATGTTGCAGTCACACAGCAGCCCCCGGCCCGCGGGCTAAGTCAGCCACTACTGCCAAGTGGATGCTGCTGCAGGTCAGAAGGTCGATGGCAGTGTGCCGTGCCACATGCCTGTGTAGCCCACACACATCACCTCACGATCTCACGTAGTCACAAGATGGTGAAGATAGTGCAGGGACGTACTTAAGAGGCGCTCATCCATAACTTCTCATCACCATGTATCCTTACAGCAGCTCTACATTATTAGTGTTCATGTTCATCTCTGGCCATGCCTCCTCTATAAATTAAATGCCATAAGTGTGCGTGTAGGAAACACTGTATATATAGGGTTTGGTACAATCCCTGCTTTCGAGCTCCCCAGGGTCTGATCTGAGACCACGTTCTGTGTGGATATGGGGAGCTGCTGTTTAGAGAATTAAAAGCTGTGTATTATGTATTTGGGACAACACATTTTTATTACATGACATTATACAAATACACACACATGTGCATTTGGTGGCTGTGTAGGTTAAACTGTTAACGTAATTTTCTGGGGGGCAGGACTGCTCTCAGTATTTCTGGAAGCACAGTGCACATGAATGGCAACAGGCTGCATGAACAGCCACACGGCTTGCTCCTCAAGCCACCTTTGTCCCTACAGAGTGGGTACAGATCTTAGGGCTGACAGGCAAACCTCTGCGAGCTGAGAAAGGAAGCAGGCAGGGGGCAGATCCCTGCTGGGGGAGGGAAGCCTGTGTGCCTCCCCCTCTCAGCGGACACACAGGTGTGCTGCATAGGAGCCGGACGCCTACGAACTGCTCCACATGCAAGTGAAGACAGGCTCCTAAAGACGGGGATTTCCATGAGGAAGCAGCCAAGGTGTCAGGCCTCAAGGCAAAGTCACAGGAGGGATCAGAGTGGACGCCCCTTCCTCCTTTACAGCAAAGACACTCAGACTGATCGACAGATGCTGGGCTACAGATTTCCAGTCAGCAGGCAGAGGAAAGCATGCACCCAGCACTTTCCAGAAAGGGTTGACCACCTGCCTCCAGAGGCTCCAGTCGCGAACACTCCTATCCACCCCTCAGATCCAAGGCCTTTTAAAAGTAAATGGTGTATCTTGCTTAATCCCCAAGATTTATGCCTTTAAACCCATGTCGCTGCTTCAGGACCTGCCCTACCAGGCATCAGACGTGCTCAGCTCCACTTACCGGGCGTTCCTGGAACAAGGGCAGCTCCAGTGCCCAGACCCCCTTTTCCCTCAACCTCCTTTTCTACTCATCTCAACTTCCTGGATATTAAGAAAACTTCCTCTCAATTTCTCAGTCTTTCTCACAGAACGTTCCCATGTTCCCAAAACCGACTGTTTCCTGGATCACTCCTCAGTGAAGAAAGCTTCCTGCCATTAAGCTGAATGCTCTCACCAAGAAGCTCAGAGCTCACTGACTCATTCATTCTGCACGACATTAAGTTCAAAGTTTTTAAGCTGTAAGATTTATCAAAGATCTCTAACTTCACACATTTCGCCAGCAGAGGTGGCAAGGAAGAGTGGGTTCCCTGACAGGCCCAATACTTTCCTGAGTTATGTTCTGCTCCCAGCCCTCAGGGACGCCATTGGTGCCACCCTCCAGGCAGGCACTCCTCGGCACAGAGTAAACTCAGGACCACTGTGACCGAGGCGGAGCAGGGTGTCCGTCACGCCACTGCAAACAAAGGCCCAGCCTACTGTGGAACTTAACCTACATGCTGTTCCCCCTTCTCTCCGCCCCTTCATCAGTTAAGTAACACTGTGACCAGGAGAGCAGACAGACCTCCACCTGTCAACAAACCTATATGGATAAAGAATGCTAATAAGCTAGGTCACCAGTCACCTAAATAACCTTACCAACCACCTGTATACATCATGCCCATACTAATCCGGACGCTAAAGGCCCCAGGTGTGCCTCTTCACTGAGGTTGCCCACCCTGCCGCCTTTGAGTGCATACTTTGCTTTAAATAAGACTTTCTTGCTGCTTAAGCATATTGCACTGTATCTGAATTCCTTCTCAAGACAAAGACAAGAACCTGGACCTTAAACAGGTTCAAGGGAGGCCTCCAACCTCCAGCACTGGTGGTGAAGTGTCTTTGTCCCTTTGCTGCTTCACTTAGCTTTCTGGTTCCTAATGCAATGCTTTTCTCTCTCCCTGGTTCATTTCAGACCAGCAGGGAAGTGGCTGCAGGAAGGAACCTCTGAGTAGTGGGGGCTTTTATGTTCCTGTCACGTGAGGGACCTGGACGGGACTGCGGCCATACGATCACGTCCTTCAGCAGCCCGCCTGAATGTCTCCTCTCCTTTTCCCCCTCTGCCCTCCCTTGCTCTCCACCGCCTGTATGGCTGCACAAATAAAAGGGCCACTCTTCCAGCACCATGCAGTGCTGACACCGAGCTCCTTTCTCGCCTGCAACGACAGGGCCTGACTGCAATTTCTGTCCGACCAGAGCCCTTCCTTCCTCCCTTCCCTATCCAGGCTAGCACTTCACCTCCTTTGTGGGGAGAGACCTCCCTGGAGGGGCTGCCTGACAACATGAAGACAACAGCCACAGTAAGAATCACAGACGGTGTTAACGTGGGCCATGTACAGTGTTTCAGGAGAGCAGCTGACTCTGAGACTAAGCCACGTGATCCTCTGCATGCTGCTGAGATTGGTCATGGCTAGTCCAGCCTCTTTTAGGTTCCATGAGCTGAGAAGCATCAAGGCTGCCTCCTGGGGAGAGAGGGTGCTGCACATCCTAGTTAGGTGTTAGCAGAGGGCCCTGTCCTTGGCCTATCCGACCCCCAGGGAGATTCCCACATATTTGTTTGATCAATAAATGTTATCTACCGTATCAGACAAGAGGTTACTAAAAGTTAAGAAAATACTACTGCACTAATCCTAACAGCCAAGATGTGGAACCAACCTAAGCGTCCATTGATGGATGAATGGATAAAGAGAGTGTGATATATACACATGATGGAATATTATTCACCATAGAAAAGCAGGGAATCCTGCCATTTTGACAAAGTGGTCGGACTCTGAAGGCTTTACGCTAAGGGAGAGAAGTCCGAGACAAATAACGTATGGTCCCACAGGTGCAATCAAAAATCAAAACACAAACTCAGAAAAAGAGGTAAGGTTTGTAGTTATCACAGGCTGGGGTGGCAGGAGGGGAATTGGAAGAAGGTGGTCAAAGGCACAAACTTCCAGTTCTAAGATGAGTAAGTCCTGGGGTGATTGCAGTGAACACGGCTGTAGGATATGCAGGGAAGCTGTTAAGCAAGTAAATCCTATGAGCTCTCATTTCATGGAAAAAACATTTTTCTCTTTTTCAATAACTGTATGAGATGATGGATGTTAACTTGTTGTCATCGTTATCTCACAGTCTGAGAGTCAGGTCACTGTGCCGCACACAGTGCTGCCAGTCACTTGTATCTCAATGAAACTGGGGAAAAAAACAGAGTTGAACCTGCAGGCTTCATCTCTTTGGATCAGGAAATGGACTCTCATCTAACCAAGCCGCACTCTCTCAGTGCCATCCTTCAAACTTAGTCTCTCAATATGTAAACCTAAAATTTTAAACAAAATGTCCTAAGTTACTTAAAAACAAAAACGCAGCTCCTTTGCATTTCGTCTTATGTTTCCCTCCGGTATAAAACTCTAGCTTTAAGTGTTTTAAGTATCCAAGATGCAACAGATGTGAATTTCTCATCTGCAAATTTCCTGGCATCCCCCCCACCCCACATATGGTCTGTCGATAGTGTTCCCATGCTGTGAGAGAGCAGCAGCTGCCTGCCCCGAAGCTGCCCAGTGCAGCTCTTGGTCCAAAAGATGATCAAAATACAAATTTTACCTGAACAAGAAAAACTACATCAAAACCGAATGGTGATAAATGATCAAAACTGAATGGTGACAGGTGAGACACACCACTTCCATGCTGGGGACAGAGCCTACATTCCAAGATGTCTTTGAAAAACAGAACCTGACATATGGAATGACTAGTGAGGACACAGTATGATGCTCTGAGCAGTTTTGTGGGCAGCACAAACCTGCAGGCCCATGTCAGGATCCCACATAATGTTAGTGCTTTAAAAAAGCAATGTGATGTTTATACGTTTTAATGGTGTTCAAGTTCACTCACCAGGAAATAATTAAAAAACCTTTGTTAGGCCACATATCCCAGTATTTTATTAGGAAAACACCATTATTCCATGTCACAGTCTATCTCCATCAGGTGTGATTGGGTGGAGGTGACTGACTTCATGAACTAAGGAGCACCACCACCCCTGCGGTCACTGCACTTACACGCCCACGCCCACACCGTGTGCATCACAGAGTCAGTGTTCCAAGACGCGAGGCCCATTCTCTGTCCCGGCAGATCCTAGCTCTGGATTTTCTGGACACGGCTCTTAGGGCTGGCACTCGGCCCAAAAGAAGTGTCAAAATATGTGTCTTAAAGCTTCTTCATGTGAAAAGCACTCAGGCTGTGGGGCTGGTGCGGCACTGGGAGGGCCTCTGCAGTGCCCCCGCCTCACTCTGCCTCAGCGATGGGGAGGAACTGCCGTAGGGCCTTACTGCTAAGCCCCAGGGAGGGGATCTGGGCATTCACACCTGCGTGGGAATGGGCTCAGGGTGCGCTGTCCCAAGGGAAAGCAGTAGAGCCATGCC